ATGTTTTTTCATTAATAAAATCAATATTAGTAGAAAATAAAAAAAAAGGTTTTAGCTAATTTTATAAACAAATATCAAACATAAAATTTATATTATTATTATTTAAATTGATAAACATTTGAACTGTTTTGAGTTTTAATAAGATTTTAAATGATTTTGATGATTTTAAGAAAGTTGTCATAATTTAGTCTAAAATTCTCTGCAATTCCACATAAACCATGAGATTTCGGTCTTTGATTTTGTAGTAAGAAACTCTTCTAAATCCCATAACTCATTAAAAATTTAATACTTATAACATTTTCAATAACAGTGTATTTTAGAAAAAAAAATTAAAATCTTATATCCAATAACACTAGATATTAGAAGATTTTATAAAATCCATGTTTGAATAATATAGGATTTGTCATTTTAATCCAAATCACTTCAAATGCTCAGTTCAATACATCCACCAATATTATGCATCCAATAAATAAGATTTATGGATTGCTACTGATGACACAGTTTGTGGTAGGTCTAAGCATTTCGGAACTCGGGAGAAGTATACACAGGTAAGAGAAGGGAATAAATAATTTGGGAATTGAAAAACACTTCTCAAAGTGTTCCCATCAAAAAAACGGGACAGGAAATTCGGGTAATGGGATGGGTTCGGGAAATTTGGGAATCTAAAATCACTTCCCAAACTCTCAATAATTTGGGTAAAGATCAAATTTTTTACTGATATTTTGGAAATATTTGAGAAATTAGGAAAAATTTTAAGAAATTATGAATAACTATAGATAATTTTAATATATTTCTATTACTTTAAAAGTTTGAATTCTTAAACGGATAATTTGGATACCATATCTCATTTTTTTCATTAAGGTACATTTTTCGTATCCATTTAAATTAAATAAATATCTCTAAACAGGAAATTAATTAAACAGGAATAGGAACGGGACGGAAAATTTGGGACGAGTATGGATTGGGATGGGAAACCCTTCTTTAAAGATGGATAGTGTATAAATCTATGGATCTTATTTACATAGGTCGATAAGCGGCTGCAATATTGTCTATAGAGTGATCTCTAAGATCATTGCAAATAAGCTAAAGTCTGTTCTACAACAGTGCATATGTCCTAACAAAGCTGGTCTTTTTTTATAGGTCGAAGCCTTGGTGAGAATATGTTGTTCTTTTCAGAATTAATTAGGAATTATCATAAGCTTTCAGGTCCAAGGAGTATCATGCTAAAAGTTGACATAAAAAAGGCTGTTGACACAGTTTGTTGGGATTTTGTATTGAAAACCTTGGAGACTCAAGACTTTCCACCTCTCTTTAGGGTGTCGATTAAGTAAAGTATTACATGTCCTCGCTTCTGTATATCGATAAATGGGGAAGCTGGTTTCTTTGTGGGAAAAAGGGCTTGCGCTAGGGTGACTCTATCTCTCCATACCTTTTTATTATGGTCATATGGAAGTTCTATCAAGTATGTTACAAAATGCAGCTTATAATGGTAAGCTAAAACTATCATCAGTGTGAAAATCCAAGAATGGCGCACCTGATATTTTCTGATGATTTGCTGGTCTTCTCTGATGTATCAAGGCACTCCCTCTCTGGCATGAAAGAGTTAATGGCCGAAATCAAAGAAATATGTGGTTTGTATATGAATGTTGCAAAAACTGAAATATTTTTGGTTGTGGAGATATTGAGACTGCGGTCCTAAGTGGCATCTCTGGTTTCAAGATGGATGTGTTCCCGACAAGGTATTTAGGGCTGCTATTAACCCCCAAAGAATATCTTTCTCTATGCTACAACCTTTTGTAGAAAAGGTTATAAGCAAGCTTCACAATTGGACAGTCAAATTGCTATCTTATTAGGGGAATATAATATTTATCTCTGATATATCATTGTTTTTATGGTTTTTGACCATGATATAGGTCTTATTTATAGAGTCTTTTTAGTGTTTTTCCAGTCTTTTGGAGTTTTTACAGGTCTTAGGTACGTTTGGAGGTTAATTGAAGATTTTGGAACATTATGGAGCTAAGAAAGGATCCAATTTGGTGAAGGACAATTTATTCCCATTGGTGTCGTTCGACACAACTAATGGTGTCGCTCGACACCGATGTTTTCAAAAGGAAAAGAATTTCTGCATTTGGGCCCAAAAGTTTCCAATGTTTACAAGAAAGCCCAGCTCGTGTTTTTAGGTTTTAATTAGGTTTTCCAGCCACCTGTTTTGGCTTCAGCTTTATTTTATCTTTCATACTTGGAGAAGAGATTGGAGAGAGCTTTTTAGGAGACATTTCTGAGATGCTGAGAGAAGATATCAAACCCCTGTTTCTTAAACTCATTATTCTTATTTGTAATCTATTCAATCATGTTTATTGCTTCAATCTCCATGTCTGAGTAGTTTGTTCGTTAGGTTTTAGGGCTCTTATAAAGAATCTCATTGAATGTTATATTAATTGATTGGTTAGTGTTCACAATTTGATTAGTTCTTCATCATAGGTTGTTCTTAAAGCTAATTCTGGACTGGCCACCTAGAACTTAGATCTTAGGTTAATTGATTGACACAAAAGTGTAATTGAATAATCTGAAAGAACTTATGGTGAGCAAAGTAATCCGCAAAGAAATTTTGGTTTAGATACTTTGTAAACATATCAAACCTGCACTTAAATCTAGTTTATATCTTTAGGATTTGCAAAAAAATTTGGGATTCTGGGATTTAAACTTAGAAAATTCTCGCAACGATTATAATTTTGTGATTTGAGTTCAAGAACCGCTTTTAAACATGAATCACGATTCATTGATTTATCTGCATTCTCTGATTTTCTGAGAAATACCTTGAGCCTAATTCTTTCCCATTGACTTTAAAACCGCTTTTATTTCATTGCTGCTTTCAATTTCACTATTTTGACTTAGCGTAATTTGAGTCTATTAGGTTTATTGAGTGAATCTCTCGTCTCTGTGGTTCGACCCCTACATACTATAACTGCAGATCTGTGCCATTGTAGAGTAGCTTTAGGGATTAAACTTTAAGAAAATCAATCTCCTCAGTGATATACGGGATGGTAAATTTTTGGAGCTCGTCGTTGTTATACCAAAGAAATTCTACACTAAAATAGACTCATTGTGTGTTGCTTTCTTGTGAAAGAACAAGATATCATTGGTTGCTGGAGCTAGAGTGGCCTAGATTGATGTTTGTAAACCTATATCCGAAGGAGTTCTTGGTATACAGCTATTGGAAGATTTTGAGATAATTCTCTAATGCCGGTTCTCTGTGAGTGGCTTGGATGAAAGCACACATCTTTCGCAGGAAAAGTTATTGGCGAACTGAAGATGCAAACAGATTCTTAACAACCATAAGGAGCATTCTTCAACTCAAACATGTTGTTGTATATTTTTTGAGGTGTGGTGAGAATGCATCTTTCTGGTTTGATTCATGGACAGATTTGAGACACTTAATATTATATTTCGGAGAAAGAGGCCCAAGGCAGCTTTGAATCCGGCTAGAGGAACGAGTCATACATGCCACTTGGCATGGACAATGGCATATGCTAGCAACCAGATCATAACAGGTGCAAGCTTTTCAGGTCACTCTCTAACTTGCCTTACTCCTCCAAATTCGACTAAGGGTGGTGACATGTACCTATTGTGCAATGCGCATGATATTTTGTGAATCTTTTCTCTTCTAAGGCAACTTGGGAGCATCTTAGAATGCCATCTCCAACGGTCTCATGGCACAAGATTCATTTTCAAACAGAAATAAACCTAAAAACGCGAGAAAACATAAAGATTATTCTCGTCATGTTCCCGTCATTTTCTTTTCTGAACCTGTTTTTGCTCTATTCCTTTTTTTTTTCCCTAGAAAACGTAAGAAAACAAAAGGATTATTTTTCTGGGTTTCTCTATTTGAATCTTATCCTACAATAAATGGTGGCTTCTCTTTAATTTCAGGGATTCAAGGTTTTTGTTGTTCATATACTTCTAGGTTTATCTACATTCGGGTAAAGATTGACGAAAGAGAATCAATCAGATATGAGAATGGCATGTGCCTGAATGTGGCCTACTTTGTTTTTTCCCCTCTAATTTGGAAACAAAGTTGGGTTATCGTATTTTTTTGCTCGGACTCAATGTTTTTTATTGTGATTATACAGATTCAAAAGAAATCGATTTAGCGCAGTGGTAACATAACACATTTGCTCTCTCTTAAGCCAGGTTCGATTCCTTTAATGTACATGTTATGATTTTAAAAAATTATAAAATGACCTCATTATGCAATTTCATTCCAACGAGGATGATACATGGCATCTGAGTCAGCACCGTTAACATTTTAAGTTTTAACGGTATTGACTAACAAAATTTGAGTTTGGTTCTGGCCAAAATAATATAAGTTAGGAATATTAATTTTCAAATTTTCAAAAATGCAGGTATTAATTAGCACAATCGATACCAGTTGTAAAAATTGAGGTATGAATGGACTGCTTTTCCTCTACATGTGTTGATCGCGCCCAAAAAAAAACGACAACAGAAATTTTGAGCTCCTTGTTAAATCATCTTATCGTCACTCAAACGTAATTAGGAAGATAATAAATACTACAAATTATGTATAATTTATGTTTGGAGCCGTCAACGTTATTCAGTTCAAATCGCAATTAAAGCAGGGAAGAGTTTCTTCCACCTTAAAAAGCATTGACCTGCTAGTCAACGATCTTCCACTAAACAAGTCCAATGCATTTCCTTATGTCCTCTCATGTATTTGGTTTCTCACTGCCATTCCCTTTTTAGTTTTATTTTATTATCGCTAAATTCAAACATTTACGGCCGTACCTTACTTTTTTACTCGTTGTAAATGAATGTTACATTGGTGCGCCAAAAACCAATGAATGTTAGTCAATAATCCGTCTGTTTATTGTCAATATTTTAAAGAAATGTGACTACAATTTCAAATTCCGGCAGTTTGACACCAGCCCTCTCTCCTATAAATAGTCAATCTCTAAAGCTCCAAAGAAAACCATCACAAAAAGAACTAACAATCTCACAAGAAGAAGCAATGGTACACTCTCGTTTTCTAAACATTGTTTTAGTCATTGTGACCATTGCCTCCATATTCTCCACATTTGCTGAGGCCAATAGGGGTTTTGGCTCAGGCTGGGGTTGGGGTACGGGTTCAAGTGGTTCAGGTTCAAGCCCAGGATTCGGATGGGGTTGGGGATCTAGCCAAAATGGCTCAGGCTGGGGTTGGGGTTCCGGTTCAAGTGGTTCAGGTTCAACCCCCGGTTTGGGATGGGGTTGGGGCTCTAGCCGAAACGGCTCAGGCTGGGGTTGGGGTACGGGTTCAAGTCCTTCAGGTTCAAGCCCAGGTTCGGGATGGGGCTTGGGTTCTAACCGAAATGGTTCAGTTGGGGGTTGGGCTTGGGGCTGGGGAGCGGGAGGTCATTCAAAAAGATATAATGCCACCTACAATGCACCAAGAAAAATCATTGTCGGTGGAGACAAAGAGTGGACATATGGTGTCAATTACTCTGACTGGGCTTCTAAGACTGCTCCCTTCTTTCTCAATGACATACTTGGTGAGTCTTTTCTTTTCGTTGTGATCTCATTTTTAGGGACTAAATATATATAGTTCTGGTGGCCAATCCATTAGGATGGTTAATTAATCCGCTGCAAATAATTTGTTTGCAGCGGACATATTTGATGTGGAAAGACATATTAGCCTACTCTGTCTAATTCGCTGCTCTAAAAATAGAACGGTCTTGTTTGCATCAAATGAGTCATGTTTGTTTCCAAATTCATAGCTATCATCATATTTTCAATAATATTAACAATTTTGACTATGAATAATTAATGATATGAATATCCGAGTGTAGTGTTCAAATACAACCCACCAGCTCCGTTCACGCACAGCGTCTACTTGCTTCCCGACCCTTCCAGCTACGAGAAGTGCGATGTGAAGAAAGGAAAGATGCTTGCATCCCCGAAACAAGGTGCTGGAAATGGCTTTGAGTTTGTTCTTACAAAAATGAAGCCTTACTACATTTCATGCGGCGAGCACGACGGTGCTCACTGCAGCAACGGCACCATGAAGTTCACTGTCATGCCGATCCTCCCCCCTTGGTAATTTGGTATTAAAGCCAACGTCAAAAGTATAAAAGGATTAGGTTTTTATTTCGTTGTTGTTGTCTTCAATAAATGAGACTATTATTATTAATGGGTGTTACCATATTCATATTTTGTTGAGATTGTTTGTGGTTTTGCGTTATGTCTTTATACTATGAGATCACCATTATTTATGTATATTACCATAATTTTATGGTAAAATGACAAGGTTTGGTATTATTATCACAAGAAAATTATAAAATTTTATTGTTTTCCCAACTTTCCGTTGATATCCGTTAACAGTGGGGGACTTTTGAGACAAACCCCAGAAAATCTCAAAACACAAGCGATCTCGGGTAAATTACATATATCACGAGAATTTATTATCAAAAATCTGATAACATTTGTTACCAAAGAAAAATCTGATAACATAGAATCGTAGAATCATACTACGGTGATGAATATATTGTACATACCACTTGTTCACGTTTACACGTTTCGAAAATCTGACTTCACAATTTTTTACCATTTAAACCGTCATTATGATTTATTTCGGAAAGAAAGATATAAATTCTAACTATGCATTCACCTCACCTAATGAAACATACAACATATGATATCTACCAACTCACTCAAAGAAAAATAAATAATAATAACTAAAACTTTAACACTAAGCAGTCTAAGCTATTTGTTTTGATTTAAAGTCTTTATAATAACTTCGTTCTCAATGGAATCCCCACAAAGGCATTTGGTTTCCTTCAGCTACTCCCAAATTCGCATTTATTACATGGCTGGCGGCAAAAAACAGGCTTGCGACGGGTGAACGTATGGCGAAATGGAAAATCAACGTAAACACAGGTTGCTCTTTCTGCAGCGAACCAGTAGAAAGTCGAGAACATCTGTTTTTTGAATGCTCATACACAGGGGAAATATGGGAGACATTGGTGGGAGGTGTCATGGAACCTGACTTCACCAAAAATTGGGCAGAGGTGCTAGACCAAATCATCCACAAGAGGACCACCAGAACAAAAAGTTTTCTTCTGCAATATGCTTTCCAAGCAACGATCCATACAATATGGAGCGAGAGAAATACAGGCGCCATGGAGAAGTACCTAACCCTGCAGCCGCGGTATGCAAAAAAATCGACGTAATGGTCCGAAACAGACTAACAACGATGAGACAAGGCACAGGCAGATGCAAGTATGACAACGGATTGCAAACATGGTTTGCAACAAGAAGAAGTCCTTAGATTGGCAAAAAGCTCTGTTTTACAATTGAAAAGCTTTGTTTTGTTTTTTTGATTCACAAAAACTGGATGCTGTAAAAAGTCTATTTTTTTCTTGAATATAATTTAACATATTATTCAAAAAAAAATAACTTCGTTCTCTCCAACTTTTGAGCTATATATATACAGATCGTGTGTGTTATTTTATTGCCGCATCATATCTAGAAATTTTAAAATATTCCGTTTCCCATTCACGTCCCCGTTTTTTGTCCCCATATTCGTCTCACTGCTACTTAATTGTTGCTAGTTCTTAGATACTCACCAGAGATTTTATATCCACCAATACATGCTGAACCTCCAGCTAAGATTCAAACTTCGCACAAACGGATACGAGGTTCCTTCGTATCATCATCATCATCTTGCTCCTCCAGCCACAAATTAGGGTTTTTATAATTCCTCTAGATAAGTTTTGAGTTTAATACTTTTAACCATGAGATCCTTGATCTAATTTAATATATTTATAAGAATTTCCTTACAGTAAGCAGTAAAAAAAAAATTCCAATTAAAACAAGATCAGTCAGAGAAGGATTTAAATTAGTTGATAGTTAGTTACTTACTTGTATTTGTGATGATTAAAAAGGCAAACTGATAAAACCGAAAGTCGATAACTGTTGTAAAATCAAATATTCTTTTTCCCAAATCAATTGGGTTTAGTCTTTAGTTAGTTATGCTTCTCTGCAAATTAAAATACGATTCTCACAACCTAATGTTAAACAGAGTATCAAAACTCAGAAAAGCGAGTGTTACAAAAATGCTATACCAAAGCACGTAAGAAGAACAAAAAAAAAACGATGGCTCTCGCTGGTTCAAAAAAGAAGCTGATCTTACTCGTCTTGTCTTTTGCATGTCTCTCTTCATCAGGCACAGAGGTGTGGAGCTGGAGTTGGAGCAACGCGTTGGGTTGGGGTTGGAGGTCCGACAGCTCAAGAAGCTCTAGCTCAGGTCCTAGTCAGATTCTGATAGCTCAAGTTAGAGTTGGGGCTCGAGTCCTGGTTGGCGATGGAGTTGGGGATCCGACGGGTCAAGCAGCTCGGGATCAGGTTCAGGTTCAAACTCTGATGGCTCTGGATGGAGTTGGAGCTGGAATCCTAAGCCAGGCTGGAGTTTGAGTTGGGGTTGGGACCAGAACGATTCAAGCAGTTCCGGTTCTAGTTCCAGCTGGGTCTCGGACAGCAAAGTGCCAAGAAAGATTGTAGTGGGAGGATCTAACGGTGGAGAAAAGGTTTGGATTACAAAGAGTGGGCTCCCAAGAATGCTCCTTTCTATATAGATGATGTTCTTTGTCGATACAAATGGACAAAAGAGTAATTTAGATTGAAGTTCAATTTTTTATTAATATTAGATTGAAGAAAATACAATTGATTTCGTTTATGAGCGAGTTATTAATGAACTAGGATTTAGAAATCCTAGTTCAGAAATTGAGATGCTTAGAATATTTTTAGCTCTCAATCTCCACGGGATTCATTTGTCCTCTTGGTGACGAATCTTCTTCCTTTTTATATGTGATCTAAGTCGGTCTTAGATGAGGTCTCTTCTCAATATGGGATCCTATAGAGTTTTTTTTCTCTAGGTCGAAGATGGAAACTTTTCTTATTCATATAAGAAATTTCCACCGACTATATATATTCATGAGTCTAGATCGGCTCGAGAGTTCGCTCGGCCCAGTTTTTGGTATTTCACCATCGTTAACCAGGCTTAATCATGCTGATTTCGGTTTGTGACAATTGATTTTGTTACACTTACTATCTTATGTTAAGTAACTTACTGACGTTAATGAATATTATATGGTGCAGAGTTCTTTTTTTTGTCGACATTTTCTTTAAAGCCCATAAGGGCAACAACCACAAGATACATATTTGAGGTCCAGCAAGAAAACGAGCCCATAAAACATACACTTAACAATACACGTACTTATATACGTGTAATCAAAATAAGCAGATAAAAAAACATGTGTCGTTCATTAAGCTCGTCTGCAATTCATAGCTGCTTTCGTCGTCACTCTTCACTGCCGGCCGCTACAATGCCGTCTCATGACCAAGCTTCACCACCGGCAACTTCGATTTCCACAGCGAGGGATTATGCATCTTCGAGTTTACCTTCTGTTAAACTGCTTGTCCCAGATAAAATCATCGGATAGAAAGCTGCAAGAGAGATGAAGATCTCTTCTAAAACTGCTTCAAAAAATTTCTTCTTCAGGGAAGCTCTGGCGCTGGTCAGACCCAATGTATTGGTCTGATCTGGTGTTTGTCGTTGCTCTGAGTGTCGAGCATGAGGATGAACAGCGAAGAAATTACTCCGAGAGAAAGAGAAAATTTGAAAAAAAATTTTAAAAGAAAAACAGCAAATTAATTCCGGTGAGAAGAAGCACAGCTGGGAGAGAGAAAACAGAAGGCAGATCCGGTCTTAGTTGGAAATTATTGATCGAATTAGGTTGGAATCTTATTAATCCGAAGAACGGAAGAAAAAACCGATTAACATCGGAAAATCAACCCGATATTAATCAGAAATTTACAACAAAAAGCTTAATCAGAAAAAAAAGCTCTCTCTTCATGAAAGATGGAGATGAAAAAACGATGAGAGAGAAAAAAAACTCCTTATATGGTGCAGAGTTCAACTACGATAAACACGTCAAAAGAAGGAATAATCTCTATATTATTATTTGAGTAGACATTTACATAAATAAATTTTTATTTGTAAAATATTACAGAATATTTTACAGAAATAAACATTTATTTATAAGATATTACATAAATAAACATTTACTTATAAGATATTACATAAATAAATTTTATAAATATAGAAAGCTCAAACCGTAGGAGATAGTTAAATATAGAACTCACAAATTTGTTTTATATATATATATATATATGAATATAAATCAAAAATGTATTTAATTTCTTTACTTACTAAAATATTAAAATATATTCTATTATTTTAAATAATAGTCAATCCAAATATATGAAAAAATCTATTTAAACTTTAGCAATATTTTTTATTTATATTTTCAAAATATAAATTGTAAGCCAAAAAATATTTTAAGAAATTTCAAAATAGATTAAGTAGATGGATTTGTCCAATTTGACAATCCTATATATAATCATTATTAACACATATTATATAATTTATTAACTAAAATTGTAGTTTGATCTCCAATAAAATATTCACAATTAAATTTTTATTTTATAGATTTATATATTTAGATTTTAATCCATGTTGGTATATATATATAAATATATTTATATTAATATTATATCACTTTCACATGTAAAAATTACTAATAATTAAACCGCATAATAAAACTTGCTCAAATTCCTATTTGATGATATATAGATATATATATATATAAGTAAATATCGGTTGTGTGATATTTATATATGTATTCTTATCTAATTGCCACTAATTTTATTTATTTATATTTTTTATTAAAAGATTTGTGCCACCAATTTTAATTTAACCAAAAATATTAAACTAAAATTTAAAAAAAAAATAAAAAACATTACCCTGCATAATATGCGAATAAATTCTTAGTCTGTATTTATTTAAAGACCCATGGAGTTACGTGAATTGCGATATCAAAAATAGAAAGAAGATTGGTTCGACGAAAAAAGGATCCGAAGAAAGCTTCAAGTTTACACTAAAGAAAATATAGCATAACTTCTTTGCCTCGGGCGAGCATGATGGTGATTATTGCAGCAACCACGACATGAAGTTCACCGTCTTCCTTGTTCATCACCGTTCTGACTAGAATCCTTTAGCCTCTTGATATATGATTTAGGGTTGTTTGTTAGAATATTTATGGAGATATGTGTTTTTTTGGATTTAATCAAAAATTATGTTTTTATTGCATCATTGACTTTCAAATTCTATAAATAAGTTGTTGTTATTAGTTTAATGATTTATATATATATATATATATTGATAAAATTCAGTGTTATTTCACATTGGATTTTACCAGAGTCGTGCCTCCCTTAGTAGAAAAAAGGCAATGGCCTTAGGCCACATTTATAATTTTAGTTTTTAGACCACATATCAATAACAATATTAGTTAAATTAGTGAAATGTTTGTTGATAGAATTTCTAAAAGACTTTGTGTTCACAAGTTCAAGTCTTGTAATAGTAATTTTTACTTTCAAATCATACTTTATCTGTCTTTTTTTTACTATAAATCTAATAAACCTAATTTTATTCATCCACATATTTTTGTTATTCTACCATTTTAATATGTTTTTATAGAGTTTTGATACTTTAATATATTTTTAAATGATAAACTCATTAAAATGTCTTATATATTTATTTTATACATAATTTTTTACATTTCAATGATATAAATTTTACAGTTCAATTTATCTTCAAGTTCTATGATTTGTAAAAATTATATACTTATAAAAAACCACAATTTTCTAAATTATTTTAGGCCACTAAATATGTTGACACGGCACTGGATTTTACCAAATATGGAAGTATTTTTAATTATTAAAATACAAACTCTCAACTGTCTCGTTGAGAACCAAAATCCGTCGGAACCAAACTTCTCTTTCCCGCTCTCATTCGTTTTATTGAAAGCCTGGATATTTTACGTTCGAAATAAAGGTCGAAGCGACATGTTTTAAATGAAAGCCGAAGTGAAATGTTTTTAATGTCTAGCTAAAATGTTTTTAGTATTTGTTTTATCAAAGACATTTTTAATTCAGCATGTTACATGTGTAATGCGTGAAGTGTAAAACAAAGTCAATAATTGTAAGCCGTGTACAACCCAACCGTTAAGACATTGACGTTTAGAGTTTTATTTGATAAAATAATATCCTCAATTTCCAAAGTTTGTTTCGTATAATGGATCATCGACGGCGAAAATTATGCATAGGTATTGGTATTTCTGTATATATTAAATCCAAATTTTTATCGTATAGCAAACACGAGAACAACGTCTGTGTTACTGTGTAAGTGTGTATGCTGTATGCAGCAAATATATGCCGTTTTAAACCTTTTAGCAAAAAAAAAAATATAGATATTATGTCATATTGATCAACGGAAGTAACTAATATATTATCTGTAAATAAAACATTATAAATAGGACATACTGAGGAATATAGCCGCCATTAGTTTGACAATTACATGCATTAATCACGTAGAGATAAAAAGAAAAACTCGAAAAGCCATCTCTATTGAACATGGAAATCAATTAAATTAGTTTCGTTTCATTACAGTACAAAAACCTGCAACAAAAGTCAATATTCATAAAATAAAAGGACCACAATTAACTCTTTGCTGCTTCAGAAACCGAACCTTTTCCCCACATGAGTTTGACCAGTTTTTGTTTTTAGTTTATTTCTCTCTTAAGGTGAAAAAACTTTATATACCAGAGGCTCTACCATAATTATGAATTAAGTTATTAATTTCTTACGTCAGAAATCATTTGTGTTCATTAAAGCATTTAGTTGTTTTTTTTTGGATCACCAAAACTTTGAGCCTAGATCCATAATCTCCTCGGATTGAAGACGAAAAGAGTTTAATTAATCCATTTAGACTATTCAAAATTAGCTATTATTAATGTTCAAACAAAATAAGTATTATTCATTAATATTTATATAAATAGAACCACAATTTTGGTTTAAAAAATATTGTTTAACTGGAAATAGATACTTAAATTATCCTTCAAGCAGTCTAATCTAACACATCTACAAACAAGTTCGCAATCGACTATTTTCTTCGAAGAAGCTTCACAATTCGATTTGATTTTGTGCTTCAATAGTTAGAAAATCATTTTGAAACATAAAAGGAGATGCATTCATTGTAAATACATTATTTTTAGTTGAATTAATTTTACATTTAATTCAAAAAAATATATATGACTTAATTGAACAAAAATGTTCTTTTAAACCATTTGAATAACAGAATAAAAAAAAACAGTTCTTCTTAGAGACAGAAACAAAAACCCCAACATGGTTTAGTTACCAAAAAAAATAAAGCAAAACTAAAATACATTTGAAATTTAAAAAAAAAACACAAATTAGTAAATCTAAAAACAAAAATGAAACAAAAATCTATAGTTAAGTAAAATTGATTAGAAAAATGAAAATGTATGTATCGGCTATGATGAATAATATTATTTTCAAAACACAACTCTAGTTATAGTATAATTTTTTTTGAATTGAATATAAAATTCATAAAAGCAAAAAAAAAAAATTTTACATCAAATGCAAATTATTCTTAATAGATTAGGAAAACCAAAAAAAAAAAACACACAAGCTCAAAATGTTCTTGTAGCAAACAAAAACACAAGACTCTTCGTATTTTTTGTTACCTGAAGCTCGTATCAAGCTAATACGGTTCCTCATATTCTATTATATAGTAAAAATTCTATAAATTAATAATCTTGGAATTTTAATATTTTATTAATTTATAAAGTTATAGATTTTAAAGAAAATATTTTTTATTTTTTATTAATTTTAGAAGAGATTTTTTATAGATTTTAAACTTTAAAACATTCTTTCTAAACTTAAAGATGAATTCAAAAAGCTTTTCATTTAAAATAATTAAAAAAAATACTAAACTCATATTTTAGTATATTATTTTATTTATATGTTTATATTATATTTTATTTATGGTAATTATTAATTTATGATATTTATGGAACCATATATTTATATAAAAATTTTGTTAAAAATATTATCTTATTATCTTATCGAATTGTGTAATAATTTGAACTGACCCAACTCGAAACCATAAAAAATTATTAATTTATAAAATTTAGTAATTTATCGAATATTAATTTATAGAATTTCTATTGTAGTATAATATCATAAAAAATATTGTGATACATAATAAATCGGAGACTACGTTTAATGAACTATATGCTCAAGATACAAAGTTAAAAGGTTTTATTTATTTATATATAGAGATATTCGAAAGTGGTGTAATCTATTCAAATTTCCGTCTGGAAAGATGTAAGGACTAATTACATAAATAAATCCCAACCTATGAAGTAGGTGAGACTTATAAAGGCAGCTCCTAATTCAATCACCATTCATTTTCTCCATCTCTCTCTCTCTCTCTTTCTAAAGTCAAGCTTTTCGTCTGAAAGGGAACACCTTCCAAGAACCAGAAAGGCAAAAGAAGAAGAGAGCATCCAAAGAAGAACCCCATTAATGGAGATAGAAGCAGCAGCAGAAGAAACAGCAACAGAACTCATTTTCGACAGCACGACTTCCTCGCCGTACATAACAGCTCCTTCAAGCCCAACTCGATTTGGCAAAAACAATGCTTTCTTCTTCAGTGCACCTACAAGCCCTTCTCCTTCAACTTCCTCCAACACACCCTATGATTGGGAAGACCAACCAAGAACTCCCAAGAAGAGATCAGCCAGCGATTTAGACGACGATTTCGAGTTCAATTTTAGTGGTCAACTGGATAAATCTTCTTTCTCTGCCGCCGATGAGCTCTTTGATGGAGGAAAAATTCGACCTTTAAGACTCTCACCCACTCCTCCTGCTGTTTGTTCTCCCAGATCTAGGGCTCTTGAGAAAAAAGATTCTGATCGAGGAAGAGACCGGTCTCCGGGATCTTCTTCGCGCTATGATCATAAAGGAAGCCGTTCTATGTCTCCGTTGAGGGTTTCAGATATTATGGTCGATGAAGAAGAAGTACATAAGTCGACAAAAATAGTTTCTTCCAACACAAGCAACCAAAAATCCTCTGTTTTCTTGTCAGCGATTCTGTTCCCTGGTCGAGCATACAAGAAGTGGAAACTCAATGATCTGTTGCTATTCAGGAGCGCATCGGATGGAAGACCGGTTCCCACCAATGAGTCCTTGAAAAGATATGATATACGTACAAAGAAAGAGGTCGAGGAAGCGAAAAATTCAAGTATCCGGTCGAGAGAAAGTTGTGATTCGTCGGTGTCAAGGTCAAGGAGGAGGCACGGAGCGATGGTTTCGGCTCACGAGATGCATTACACTGAAAACAGAGCAGTGTCGGAGGAGCTGAAGAGGAAAACATTCTTGCCATACAAGCAAGGCTGGTTAGGCTGCTTAGGGTTTAACCCTGCGGTTCATGAAATTGCAAGAGTTGGATCCTTGTCACGTGCTTCCTCTTGATCGCTCTTGTACTTTTCTTCTATATTATTGTTTTGATGGCTTTAATTTTCAGATGTGTTGATGAGGTTCCATCGGATTGACGGAAAATATGATATTGTTTAACTCGTAAGGTTTGATACAAATGAATAAAGGGAAGAAAAAAAACAAATGTAAAATTGGCGTATGATGTATTTTTGTGTGTAAAATGTTAAATATTATGCCATATTTGATTTTTGACAGAATATACAAAGATAACAAAGAACAAAGAAAGAACGATAGCTGAGCAATAATAGAAACAACAACCAAGAAGTTGAAACCGAAGAACGATCTAGACAGTGGAAGCTAACTTTAACAAGGTCAGAAGATAAAAGTCGAAGAAAGAACCGCTCGAACAATAATTGACAATTTAGATACTGCAAAATAGTTACAAGAAAGCACATATTTAACGAATTTGCCCCACCATACTAGGCTAGTAGGCTAGTTAGAGTGCTCATTGTTTTCACGAGCTCCTCATTCATAATCATATAGTACTCCAATTTTAAAATCGGATATGGTGGTGCACCGTGCACTAAAAGAGTTTAAATAATTAATAATAGGAAATTAATTAATCCAAAGAAAGTGAAATTCAATCCAAAGAGTCATAATCTTGAAAAGGCATATTAGGAATCTCACATTTTAATTATTAAATGGCAACATACTAGTATTTAAGGAAACAATCATATATCAGTAATTATTCTACTATCTATTGATACTCCTTATGTTTCAAAAAAAGTGTTATTTTGACATATTTCACACATCTTTAAAAAATATTTATAATATTCTTTATTAATACACTAAATTATTAATACTCTTTATTAATACACTAAACCATTTTATCTTTCTAATTAATACACTAATTCAATAGGGTACAGTTGGATTTTTGTATACTATTATCCATTGAAAACACAAAGTGACTCTTTTTATCAAACAAAAATAAAGTTCTAAACTAACATTTTTTGTGAAACAGAGGGAGTTTTTAGTCAGAACTCAATAATTTTTCAAAATTGATTTGATTATTTATACTATCAAAATGAATTTAGGTTATTTACAAAAATCCATTCTAAGAGAACCACAAATTTAATCGTGTTTGATTTGGACTAATTAAAAAACGAGTAACTAACTAAAATTAAGGTTCAGTAATGTGAATATTGGGAAGAGATTATCGTTGTTTATTTTTTATTGTCAACGATCCATATATTTGAATCGATTTTGACCAGTAAAGAATCATCTTTACTTACATGGAAAAATACAATACCTCGTGCTCAAACTTTTTTTGTAACAGAGTGAAGAGATTCTTATTGGTTATTACTTATTACAATGAGAGAATAAATAAAAATATGTACTCAAATGTGACAGTTCAAAAACAATTGCTATCGGAACATTACAGTTTAATCTAGCTCGCAATTATAATAGGATAATAAATGTTTAAAAGCAAAAAGAAAAAAAGGATTAGTACAATTCGATATATGAAATAGAGCATATTGGATTTTTAGTTTATCGATAAGAGCATAAATTACTCCTCAATTGTAGTGATTTAAAAAGTGTTGGAGAATGAAGCAACAATGAGGCTGAGCCGAAAGAGAGAATAGTTAAAGAAGAAATGCAATGCTCCTTAATCATGAGATTTGTACAATAATAACGTTAATGATGCTCTTAACAGGATAAAGTCTATGGACCACCTATAAAATATTAATAAATGCTAAATTAACATTTGATCAAGTAACTGATTACAACCTAATACAGTATGAGTTAATAACTTTATTACTCTTTTTTATTTCTCAACAAGTCTATTGCATCTAAGCTGCAATGATGGGTTCATGGGGCAACACCTGGCGTTTCCATTTCTTTCTTTTCTTTCATGAATTTTGTCAACTTTTTCTTAAATGTTTCTTAATTAAAAACTTTTGATTAATTTATATTTAGTTTGTTCTTTGGAGATGTAAAAGATAGACAAAAGGAATTATGTGAAATTATAATAATTCATACACCCACAAAGAAGCTCTCGAACTTTGGTTCGCCATAAAACTACAGAAGTTGTTATGTTCGTTCTCTTAAACTCTAGCTAACGTTGAAACAAACTAATCACAAGTTGTAAAATCGATATTTATTTTATGTTAAAAAATAATGAAATTCAATTCAAAAAATAAACTAATCAATATTCCAACTCCTTATGTTACTGTGTGTTATAGGAGTAAATAATTAAATCATAGTTTTTTTTGTTAGAAAGTTAATTCACTGTTTGTGTTAAACATTTATGATCCGAATCAAAAATTAATTGAAGGGCGACAGATACAATTAAGACATGATCAGTGAGGTGGGTGACCCATTTATTAAGAGAGTAAACTCGATACACAACTTTGATTAGACACGTTCTATGACTATTTTTAAGTGTAATTGTTTACTTAACTAAATATTAATGTACCAAACACTTCAATACAAAATCAATGCTAATTAAGAGAATATGAACATCAATATAAATGTGCACAAAACCTAGAATCAACTACGTGATTTTTAATACAACGAAGATGATATTTTTCAATTATCCATTGTATTAGTAATTATTTTCGATTTGTTGGATCTCGACAGCAAATCAAACGTATAACAATTTACAATCTATATAAAAAAGTAAGTATTCACAGTTATGGTTTGAATGTTTGATACGTCACATCAACTTGAATATTATACTTTTCTTACATATTTGAAAAGAGTGAGTTGGGTGAATATACTTAGATAAGTCTTTAATAAGATAAGTAGTAACTGAAGTTTTGTACTAAAATGTCAATAATTAATAAGGTCATTGTAGTCTGAGGGTTCCAATCCTATGATTTAATTTATGATGCCAGCTCGATGGAGTTAACTAACAAAATTGAATTAATGTATGTTTTGGTAAAAAAAAATTGTATAAATTTTGATATTTAAATATTTTATTGTTTGAGTATGAATTAGGATACCAAATTTATTTTGGGTATTAATCGTTAAGGTATGAATTAGCCTTTTTCCTCTTTTTTTTTTTGAATAATATGTTAAATTATATTCAAGAAAAAAATAGACTTTTTACAGCATCCAGTTTTTGTGAATCAGAAAAAAACAAAAAACAGAGCTTTTTGCCAATCTAAGGATTTCTTCTTGTTGCAAACCATGTTTGCAATCCGTCGTCATACTTGCATCTGCCTATGCTTTGTCTCATCGTTGTTAGTCTGTTTCGGACCATTACATCGATTTTTTTGCATACCACGGCAGCAGGGTTAGATACTTCTCCATGGCGCCTGTTGTTTCTCTCGCTCCATATTGTATGGATCGTTGCTTGGAAAGCATATTGCAGAAGAAAACTTTTTGTTCTGGTGGTCCTCTGGTGGATAATTTGGTCTAGCACCTCTGCCCAATTTTTGGTGAAGTCAGGTTCCATGACACCTCCCATTAATGTCTCCCATATTTCCCCTGTGTATGAGCATTCAAAAAACAGATGTTCTCGACTTTCTATTGGTTCGCTGCAGAAGGAGCAACCTGTGTTTACGTTGATGTTCCATTTCGCCATACGTTCACCCGTCGCAAGCCTGTTTTTGCTGCCAGCCATGTAATAAATGCGAATTTGGGAGTAGCTGAAGGAAACCAAATGCCTTTGTGGGGATTCCATTGAGCTTTTGGTGTCCTTATGAGCTCCCATGTTGCTTTCGAACTGAAGTTTGTTTTGAAAGTCCCATCTGTTACCCGCCACATTGGGATATCTGTCTCCTCGTGATCACATGTCCCCTTTTTGGCTCGTATTTCCTCCTCTATTTGCTGTAGAAGGGTGTTACGATGCCTCCTTCTCCTTTTACCCTCCATAACACTTCCAAGTGTGGCGTTTATGGAGATACCCAAATCGATGCAACCTCTGAACCCAAAAACCTCAAACAGACAACCCTTTGTGCTCCAGTTGTCGTACCAAAAAGCTGTGTGATAACCGTTTCAAACCTCAACTCGATACAGACCCTTTTGTCGTCTCCCGATACTTCAAGATCTTTTTCCATATCCATGACCCTAAAGTGGTTGTGTCTTTCACCGCCCAGAAAGTAGTTTGCCTGATCAGATGCTTGTGTATCCAACTGACCCACAGAGAGTCTCTGGACGAAAGAATCCGCCATATAAGTTTTAACACACATACCTTGTTCACTTCGTCTAAAGGTTTCAGTTCCAACCCTCCTTCCTTTTTTGGTGAGCATACAATATCCCATGCAACTTTGGCCTTTTGTCCGTTGAGCTCTTGTCCAGACCATAAAAATCCTGCACATATCTTATCGGTTTCTCGTATACAGGCCTTGGGAAGACGGAAAGCGGCCATCCAGTAATTGATTAGACTATTAAATACTGAGCGAATTAACTGCAAGCGACCCCCAAATGAGAGGGCTCTCGCAGTCCATGTGTTTATCTTCAGCTGAATTTTTTCCAGCAGAGGTATGTAATCCGTTTTTGTCATCTTCCTTGTCGTCAAAGGTAGTCCTAAGTAGCGAACAGGTAACACTCCTTGTTCGAAAGGGAATTCAGAAAGGATGTCCTCTCGAACTGCAGCTGTGATCCCTGCCATATAAACCGTGGACTTTTCAATGCTGATGCGGAGACCAGAGTGTTTAGCAAAATCATCAAATACCGCTAGAACTTCTACAATGGAGTTCTTTTCTCCTTCCACAAACACCAACAGATCATCAGCAAAACACAGGTGTGTAAGAGCTAATGGAGCACACTCAGGGTGATAACCAATTCTTTGATCCAAAGCTGCCTTGTCAAGTCTTTTGGATAACACGTTCATACATATCACAAAGAGATATGGGGACAGAGAACAGCCTTGTCTCAGGCCTCTAGAGCTTCCAAAATAACCTGCCAACTCACCGTTTAGCTGAACTAAGAAAGAGGCTGAAGATATGCAGAGATGAATCCAGTGTATGTATTCATCTGGAAAATCCATAGCCTTTAGCGTGTGCACTAAGAAGGTCCATTCCACAGAGTCAAAGGCTTTTGAGATGTCTATTTTCATAGAGCATCGAGAAGAAACTGTTTCTTTGTGGTAATCTTTTACTATCTCTGTGGCTAGAAGAACATTTTCCATCAAGAGGCGATCTTTAACAAATGCAGATTGGTTCAGACTGATGAACTTGGGGAGGATGATCTTAAGCCGGTTTGCTAATATCTTGGATATTATTTTATAAAGGACATTGCAGCATGAGATTGGCCTGTAATCTGTCATAGTCTGCGCAGCTTTCTTCTTTGGAATCAGAGCTAAAATTGTTGAATTAACTCCCTTGGGCAAGAATCCTGTCCGAAAAAAAGATTGGATAGCAACAATGAGATCCTTTCCTATCACTGACCAAGACTCCTTGTAGAATTCAACTGTGTAACCATCAGGTCCTGGGGACTTTTCTTTAGGCATTGAGAACAGGTCTGAAAATTTACCTAAAGATAATATTTTAAAGGTCTGAAAATTCTTTTATCCTAGGGATTTCGTATGTATTGGGTAGGGCCTGTTAACTATTGTTCTAACATAGTTAACTTATGGTTATTTGAAGAGATAACAAAATCATAACCTGAATTAATAAATTCATTATCATGTTAACCGACATAATTTTTGGTTTATGTATAACTATATTGGTAACATAGTTAACTTACGGTGATGATAGATATAACAAAAATATTATTAATATCAAATGCCAATTTTCATTCCAGAGTTTGACATAGAAATTTTCATAAAATTTAATTGGAAATTGAAAGATTGGATGCGTTTGACACATAATAAAAATAAATATACCGTATATTTTTGGTTGAGTGTGTTACCATGTAAACACTTTTGAGTTTATAATGTCTAAAACAGACATTTTTAAGTTTTAATTGCCAAAAAGACACTTTTCTACTATTTGAACACTTAAAATAACTAAAAAACTCATTTCATTAACACACAATTACTTATCTATATTTTTTTATTTAATATTATATTAATATTACACATTCCTCATAATTGTTTGTTGTTATTTATCTATTATTTTAAAAATAATCGAATAATTATTTTGACAGTATAAATTATATAATTCATTTTTTTAATACTTTGATACCCATTTTGTATTTTTTAACTTTAGTTATTTTATCGTTTAGTGATAAACACATACGTATCCATATAGTAGCGTCCACGTGGACATAAATATATAGATATTTATACAATTATATAGATATAGTAGCGTACATGTGAACACAAATATATATATATATATATATATATCTATATATCCACATATATAGAGTATAAATAGATGTAACTATATAGATACATATGTATATTTACATGTATATCTATGTGTATATATTATAGATGGATGTAACTATATAAATATATATATGCATATTTACATGTGTATCTATATAGTTGCATACATATAGGTGGCCGTGCGATTTAGTGTGTGGAAGCTGATAAATTAAGGTGGGTTCCATACGATTTAGTGTGTGGAAGCTAATAAATTTCAGTGGGTCCCGTATATTTTAATATTTTCTGTAGGTAAATAGAATGTAAAAAAAAGGCAAAAAAGTCAAAAAAATGAGAGCAAAATAAGATAAGTGTCTCATTTCCAAAAAATATATTTTTTGGCAATTACACTTTGAAAAAGTGCCCTAAATGGTAATATTCTCTTTTTTTTTTAGCGATTTGTTATAAGAGTGTGTTACCATTAGGTGTACTTTTGAGTTATTTAATGTCCAAAAAAAGATTTTTATGTTTTAATTACCAAAAGACACACTTTTCTTCTGTTTGGAAGAGAAAAATGACTGTTTTAACATTTTTGCCTATTTATCTATATTATTTATTTATTTAATATTATATTAATATCACACACCCCCATAATTGTTTGTTGTTATTTATCTATTATTAAAAAAAAATAATCGAATAATTATTTTGACACTATAAATTATATAATTTTTTCTTAATACTTTGATACATATTTTATATTTTTTAATTTTAGTTTTTGTCGTTTAGTGATAAACACATAGGTATGTATATAGTAGCATCCACGTGAACACAAATATATGAATATCTATGCAATTATATAAATATATATATATATATATATATATACGTATCTATATAGTAGCTTACACGTGAACACAAATATATATATGCATATCCACGTGCATAGAGTATAAATGGATGTAACTATATAGATATACATATATATTTACATGTATATCTACGTGCATATATTATAGATGGATGTAGCTATATAAATATATGTGCATATTTACATGAGTATCCATATAGTTGCATACATATAGGTGGGTTCTGTGCGATTTAGTGTATGGAAACTGATGAATTACAGTGGATCCCATGCGATTTAGTGTGTGGAAGCTGATGAATGAATTTAAGTGGGTCATGTACGTTTTAATATTTTTCTGTAAGTAAATAGAAGGTAAAAAAAAAAAAGACAAAAATTCCAAAAATGGGAGCAAAGTAAAATAAGTCCACAAATTCCAAAAAATGCATTTTTTGGCAATTATATTTTTTAAAATTACACCTAATAGTAATATTCTCTTTGTTATAATAGTGATAGAGAAGTCTTTTCGATTTTGGTACGAAAAACCAAAAACTAATTTTGCTATAACTAGTTACCTGATATTGCTATTACTCATTTAAAGAGTAAATCAAACAATCTTGCTTTAACGTGTATCCAAATTTAAATGAATATGCTACCATGTTGATATGCCTTAAAATCAGTTTGTGTACTCTAAAGCAAATGATAATATCTTAAACTAAAGGTCAAGATTAATGAGATATAGTTGTAGGCTTCAAACCATTTTTTATTCGGCAGACTATTACATTGGTTATAAATTAAATTTTGTTAGACTGTTAGGTATTGGAGTCTAACATTTTTGTTGGTTTAAAGATTGGGTTTTGTCTATTATTTGAAAACATTGTAACCGGTTCAATCAACCCCTGGTTCTGGCCGCATTCTCACTTGAAAGATTTGATCTTCAGCTTCTCATAGATGGTTCACTTTAGTCAGTTAGTGAGATGTAATTATGAATGAGTTGTATGTTTCATGTGTGTGAACAATTGCTCTCGAGTGAAAATTGAGAGTTTTGAGGATTTCAGAGGTTTGATACGGTTCGATTAACCTGACATGTGGTTGTTGATTGTGGTTCTCAACTATTCAGGGGTCGGTTCGGTAATTCGAGTTCGGGAGATTAAATTGATTGAATTTTATTAAGTATCCAATTACAGTTCGTTCAGTTTGGAGGTCTCTCGACGAACTCAATACAATATTCAGGTCTCTATTATCCGGGTCCGAAAAAGGTCCCTTCTACAGTAACAATTCTACTATTTATAGTACATAAGCGAGGAGATGTTCTAGGGCTTCTCGTTCAGCTCTCACCGCCTCTTGTCGCTGGGCCTCTCTCTTATGGGCCGCGCCGTCAGGTCAGGCCCATTTCGGCTGAGACCGTCGTAAACCAGGATCAATTGGGCCGGTCTCGGTCTTTAACTGGTCCGAACCGGGGAGCGAAGCGTACCACCAACAGTATGCCCCCCCCCCAGTTCGGCAAATGGACCTGACTGACTTTTGCCGAATTGAAGCAAGATCAGTTATAGACCGAGGTCGGTGATGTTGAGCTCTTTGACTTACACCCTTCTTCACTCCTCTGGTGTTTCGGCAAGGGTATTTAAGTATTTTCGGTTGTGGGAAACTGAAAAGTCGCGTTGGTTTAGGCGGGAAATCAAAACGTTACAAGTCGCAGAACTCGAGAAGTCGCAATGATTCACTCTTCTTCTATAAATAGGAATCAGCTCTCCCCATTTCTCACTTTCGCTCCTACTGCCAAGGTATTTGCTCTCCCTTCTCTCTAAATTTTCTTCTTTCTCTCTCTAGAATTTCCGGTCGCCATCCGCCGTGCTCTCTCGTCGACGGTAATTTTCTCGAGCTCTCCGACAATGTCTTCCTACTCTTCTTCCAATTCCGAGGCCGCCATTCTTCCCGAACATCGTAGGGAGGAAACTTCAACTGACATCTCGAGCTCAGGATCTACAGAACATTCTTCGAACGCTTCTCTGGTTCGCAAGAATTCTCGGGTCGTCGAGGTCGGCTCCGGTAGCCGAGTTCCGATTCGGGCTCCAGAACGGATGGATCAAAATCTCCGCGAGCCCGAGGGCCAAGTTCCCACTAACTTGGTCCTGGGACGAGAACCCGACGTGAAGACGGACGAGGATGCTCCACCGTGCGAGGTCGGGGATGGAGGGGCGCCGGACCCAAACGACGATGACATGATGCCGATCATGGATCGGCCGTGTATATGCGCACCGGTGAAATCCACCTTGTCGTCTCCCGAGACGGTTCGGGCTGCTATGCTGATCGGCGGAGCCCCTCCTGGGATTATCATCCAAGTTTCCGAACCGGAAGAGCGCCCTTGGGATGCACCCGAGGACTTCGTTTGCGTCTACGAAGCTTATTTCCACGAGATCGGATTGAAATTCCCCTTGCCCCGTTTGCTGTTCGCCTACTGCAATCGTCGCGGCTGCGCGATATCGCAACTTCAGCCAGCGTCGATAGTGAATTTTGTCGGGATTCTCCAGCTCGGGCGTGATATTCAGGCTCACATCAACGTGTCTCAGTTCGAGGAACTCTTTATTATGAAGGTTTCGTCGGCAAAAAGTTGGTTTCTGTCGGTGAATTGCAACCCGAAGTTCGACCTGGTTACTGGGAACAAGGCTAGCAAATTTCTGAATTGGGACCAAAGCTACTTCTTTGTTCGCGTTGATTCGTTGTCTGCTGAGAATGCGGAGAGCACGTTCCGGACTGGCTGGAGTGTCGACTTTGGTACATATCTCACGGTTAACTCTCCTGTTTCTTGGTCGGTACTAATAAACATTTCTTGCTTTTGTAGATCGCCACGTTCCAGGATTCATTCAACGATCCCTTACATCCGACCTAGCGAAGCAGCTCAGTCTTGCCGGACAGCGCCGTTGGCCCCTTGCTTACCGGGAGAAGATTGACCGTCGGATAAAGAGAGCTCAGGACAGAGGTATGAGTTCTCATGTTGTTTTGAATTCGTCATTACTTGGTTGTATAGATTACGACTGATATACTTGTTTTTTTTATAGCTAAAACCAAGACTGAACCCAGCTCGTCGAGGCCGGTTCCGAAGAGGAAGAAATCAAGGAAAAACAGCAAATCGAGTCGGAGGAGGATGGCGTTCGACAGGTCGGACATCCCAATGATGGACTTTGGGGCTGATGAGGAAGAGGACAACGCCCCGATCGACGTCGTCGGTCTCGATGGGAACGAGGCCGACGATGGCGTTGAAACCGCTGGCGGGGACGAGGTCGACAATGTCTCGGTTGGCCCAGTTGATCCTTTGATCTCGGTTGTAGAACCGGAGGGCGACGTGGCGGGAACTAGCGTTCCTGAGGTGATTCATCAGCCTCAAATGGAGGAAGGTGAAATTGGTGAGCAGGACGAGGATGAGCTTACCATCGCCGACCGCGCCCGGAGGAAGAAGGGCAAGTCCTCGAAGAAATCATCTCGGAAGAGGGGTGGTGATCCCGAGACGGCTGCGAGTGAGGGAACTCTGGTCATTCATGGAGGGGACATCGGCGGGTCGCCTACTGCTTCTCAGATTCCCCCAGCAGATCCGGTAGCTGAGACCGGGAATCCGAGATCGTCCAAGAGGCGTTGGACCTCTGACTCGTCCTCCTTTTCAGTCCGAATCAATTACAACAAGGACCGATCCTTCTTTGGCGACTCAACTGCCTGCGCCGAGCTCTTCAGGCAGATCGTCCCGGCCTCGTCTCCAATGCCTGAGACTAAGGACCTCTTCCGCCCTAAGTCTTATGCTCGGGTCACGAAATCCGCCTCCGCTGTAAGTTTCTCTCTGATTAGATACTTAGACGTTTTTTATTTTTTTTATTTTGAAGTATCTGACTTTGATTCCTATTTTCAACTCGTCTGCGATACCAACGAGCTCGTCCGCGAGTACGACTCTGAGGTCGAGAGGCTGAGGAAGATTAACGCCGAGATCGCTGCCGAGAGGGCGTCTTTGGAAGCGTCGTACCGGGATGAAAAGGAAAGGTACGAGGCTACTGTGCTAGCCTTCACCGAAAAAGAGAAGGAGAACGCTGCCTTGAAGGAGCAGGTCGGGGCTCTGGAGAAGCAGACTGCCGAGCTGGAGGGGGATATGGACGCTCTGTCCAAGTCGTTCAAGGCGAGCGAGCTCGAGAGGCAGAAGTATCGAGACGCCGAGTCAAAGGGCCGGAAGATGATGGCCGCGCTCAGAGGCAAGTGCGAGGGAAAGCTTGCCAAGATGAAGGACTTCATGGACAAGTCTGAGCTTCGGAAGGCGCCGTTCCTCAAGCTCAATCAGGCGACTGCTCTGGTCGGCTTCTGCGACTTCCTTAGGAGGGAGCATAACATGATCGTCCCGTCTCACATCGTGGAGACGTATGCGCGTAGGGTCAAGAACTGCACGAAGGAGGTCGATGCCGTCCCTCTTCCGCGGTTCGAGAACGAAGACTTCCTCCTCCCGAGTGACGACGATCTTATCCCTAGGATTGTGCTTCCGCCGGGGACGCAGGTTCCGGAAGGCTTGGATCAGTTTGGCTCGAACTCCAGGTCCATCTCGGCTGATCGGGCAGCGAGTCTCAAGAGTCCGGCGTCCGTCGCTCGCCAATGATTCCTCCAGTTTTCCTTAGTTTTATTTTGATGTTGTAGTAAAGACTATCTTACCCGCTTAGCTCGGGTCTTAACTTAACGATTCGTTTTGGTCGCCGTTTTTAGGCGTTGTATTTGTTGCTGTCTAGTTCGGCAATTTCGGGTATTTAATGAAATGAATATGGTTTTGCTTTATCGCGATTTTTTTTTTACTTAGAACTTTCCTTTCTCATATTTTAGTGCAAACTGTTGGGAGTTCGGCTTGTTTCCATTAGATTCGGAGCTCGTGATGTTATTGTGACGATGCAGGCGAACTCGGGGGTTCTCCGAACTTGAATCGCGGTTGGCGGATTGCTGTTCGGAAGAGTGAGTGCGGATTGGGTTCCGGCTTTGAATAGTGGGCACTGTGGGGATGCGGGCGAGACGGATCTTGGCTTTTGAGATTGTATTCATGGGGAATACTTAGTTCGATCTTCTGGCCGGGGAGTTGATATGTGGAGTTAGTGACAAAATGAAAAAGATGGATTTTTATTGGATTTGTAGCTGGACTCGAAATCGAGCTGCCTACGTACCCTTTTGCAAGGGATCAAGTCACTCGTAGTTCAGTTTACAGGGGTGAGTTCGGCCGGAGCCGGACTGTTTTTTTTTTTTTTTATATATCCGAGCTCGCGGTGGCTGGGACTTAGTAGTAATATCGTTTGAGGTTGGCTGAGTTCCACGATCGCGGGATCGGCGTTCCATCGAGTTGCATGAGCTCGTAAACCCCGGGCTTGACGATTCGCATTATCTGGTAAGGACCTTCCCAGTTCGTTCCTAGTTTGCCTGCATTTAATTCCTCGGTGTTATGGAACACCTTGCGCAGAACGAGGTCGCCTTCATCAAAATGCCGTCCTCGCACTTTCTTGTTGTAGTAGCGAGCGGCGAGCTTTTGGTAGTTCTGGATTCGGAGGAGAGCTGAGCATCGCTGTTCTTCCAAGTTGTCAAGGTTGTTGAGCATCATTTGGTAGTTGAGATCGGGGCTCTCAGGGAGCACGGAGTATCTTAGAGTTGGGATGCTTACTTCTGCCGGACAGAGGGCTTCAAGTCCGTATGCTAAAGAGAAGGGAGATTGTCCGGTTGACCGTCTGGGAGTAGTTCGGTGTGACCATAAGACTCCGTCGAGCTCGTCCGCCCAGGTGCCTTTCTTAGCCTCGAGACGCTTCTTTATGCCGTCTAGGATGGTCTTGTTGGTTGCCTCGGCCTGACCGTTGCCTTGCGGGTACCGCGGGGTCGAGAAACTAAGACGAATTTTGAACTTTGCGCACCAATCATTGAACGTACCAGCAATAAATTGCGGTCCGTTGTCCGTGACGATCTCATGCGGGACCCCGTGTCGGCAAATGATATACTTCCAAACGAATTTTTGTACGTCCAGTGCGGTGATCTCAGAGTATGCTTCGGCCTCGACCCATTTTGTGAAATAGTCAGTCATAATCAAGATATACTGTTTTTGGATTGTCGACCGGCATAACGGGCCAACGATGTCCATGGCCCACCGCATAAAAGGGTAAGGTGCCGTACTGGTTTGCAGCAGCTCGGTTAGCACGTTAATCAATCGGCCATGATGCTGGCACTTATCGCACTTCATGACGAACTTCTCGCAGTCCGCGTTCATCGTCGGCCATAAATAACTGGCTTTTTTTTATTTTCAGGGCAAGGGATCGGCCTCCTGAATGATTGCCACCAGACCCTTCGTGGATTTCGTGCATGATTTCGATTATCTCATTCCCGGAGACACAGGCCAAGAGTACGCCGGATGCGCTCCAACGGTATAGTTTATCTTTGTGCATTGTGTAATGAGCGGCCCGGACTTTAAGACGGCGAGCAGCCCATTTGTCTTCAGGGACTTTGCCGTTGAGGAGATATTCTCGTAATTCGGCTGTCCAATCCTCAGCGGACTCGTTCTCTGGGTTTTCGCTGGTCGACGGGCTGTGGATTCCTTCAGTTATGTTCTCAAAGTCGTGATCGGCGGCTAGATCCTCGAGATCTCGTTCGGCATTCTCCTTAAGAGCTTGATCGGCATTCTTGTTTGACGAGGTCGGAATTTCGTCGTAGTTCCGTCGTCGGGTGGCGACATTGCATTTTGGCGCTGTTTTTATGCTTGGTTCTGAGATACTTTCGACCGGGATTTTTCTCTTCATATGCGGGTCGGAACTGGAAGCTAGGGCGGCTAGCGCGTCAGCAGATGAGTTCTCACCGCGAGGGATTTTGGTGAGTTCGAACGTCTCAAATTCCAAAATGAGTGCCTTAGTTGTTGTTAGGTACGCGTCCATTCGTTCGTTTTTTGTCGTGTATTCTCCACTTAACTGACTTGCGACGAGCTGCGAATCGCAGAAAGTGTGAAGATGTCGCACGCCGAGCTCTTTAGCCAATCGCAGCCCGACAAGTAGAGCTTCGTACTCACACTCGTTGTTGGACGCTGGGAACTCAAAGCGGAACGACTGTTCGAGGATCTCACCGTTTGGGGATTTTAGGCGGATTCCGACACCTGATCCTCGGTGTGATGACGATCCGTCGACATGTAAAACCCATAGCTCGCGGGGCGGCTGTTCGACGATGAACTCTTTAGGGAGCTCGATCAGAAAATCGGCGAGTACTCGCGATGGTTCGATTCTTGTATTCTATATCGTACTCGCTTAGTTCGACGGCCCATTTCGCGAGGTGACCTGATTGGCTTGGACTATGTAGAATGATTCGGAGCGGCTGGTCGGTTAAGACTGTGATTGAATGGGACTGAAAATATGGCCGAAGTTTCCGAGCAGAAGTCACCACTGCAAGCACCAACTTTTCTAAAGTCGGGTATCTGGCTTTGGCGTCACTTAGCGATTTGCTGACATAGAATACGGGACGCTGTTCCCCCCTATCTTCGCGGACTAGAACACTGCTAACCGCCGAAGCGGAAATAGCGATATATAAGAATAGCATCTCGCCATTCTCGGGTTTAGCTAGAATGGGGGGAGTCAAGAGATACATTTTCAGCTGCTTGAAAGCATCTTCGCACTCGGCACTCCAGGTATGATGCTTGTTACCTCGCAACAACTGGTAGAAAGGCAGACACTTATCCGTCGATCTGGAGATAAATCTGTTCAGAGCGGCGATTCGGCCTGTGAGTTTTTGCACCTCCCTTTTTGAAGTAGGGGAAGGTAGGTCTAGAACTGCGGATATCTACTTTGGGTTAGCCTCGATGCCGCGCTCGGTGACGATGTAACCCAGGAACTTGCCTGCCGTTACGCCGAAGGTGCACTTGGCGGGGTTGAGTTTCATCCCGTACTCGTTCAGAATGTCAAAACACATTGATAGGTGAGATATGTGGTCCTTAGCGTGCAGGGATTTAACCAGCATGTCATCAATGTATACTTCCATCGTTTTTCCGAGCTGGCTGGCGAACATGCGGTTCACGAGTCTTTGGTACGTGGCTCCCGCGTTGTTGAGGCCAAACGGCATGACCTTATAGCAGTAGATTCCTCGATCCGTGATGAACGAAGTCTTTTCCCGATCATCCGGATGCATTAGGATTTGGTTATACCCCGAGAAGGCTTCCATGAAAGATAACAGTTCGTTGCCGGCAGTTGCCTCTACCAATCGATCAATATGTGGTAGTGGGAAACTATCTTTGGGACAAGCTTTGTTCAGGTCGGTGAAGTCGACGCAGATCCTCCTCTTCCCATTCTTTTTCTTCACAACTACCGGGTTTGCTAGCCAGTCCGGGTATCGAACTCCCGTGATCGAACCGGCTTTGAGCAATTTTTCGACCTCATCGTTAACCGCTCGTGCTTTCTCGGGTCCGAGCTTGCGTCTCTTCTGTTTGATAGGCTTGTATGTAGGATCGATATTTAGCTCGTGGCAAGTGATCTCTGGATTGATTCCGGGCATGTCGCTGATATTCCATGCGAATGTGGAGACGTTCCTCTGGAGGAAACTGATGAGTGCTTCCCGAATATTTTTGTCGAGTTCGGCCCCTATGCCGACACATTTTTCTGGATCTGTCGGATCAATGCAAACTTGGTCGACTTGGCTCTGTTTGGGTGGACCGAACTGGCTTACTGCGGCCGCATGATCTTCCTGAAAGAGGCTGATGACGCATGCCCGTGCGAGACTCAGTTTGCATTCGGTCAGATGGCATAATCGGGACGCAGTCTGGCTTCCTTTGAGGGTGAAAATCCCTGACGGGGTTGGGAACTTGACGCATTGATGGAATGTTGACGCGACAGCCTACATGTCGAACAGCCATGGCGTCCCCAAAATCGCATTATATATTGCCGGTTTGTTGAGGACCAAGAATTTGATCATTCGGGCTGACCCGCCGACATAAATGGGTATTTTCACCGTTCCTACTGTCCTTGTTTTCTCTCCGGTGAAACCGGTCAATGATTCCATATAAGGCTTGATCTCGGAATCCGGAAAATCCATATTCTTGAGTGTTTCCTTGAATATGACGTTTACCGAACTCCTCGTGTCGATTAATATCCTGCTTACTTCGACGTCTCCGAGCTGAAGTTCCACGACAAGGCAATCGTTATGAGGCATATGTACCCCCCGCAGGTCGGCTTCGGTAAATAACGGTGGTACGGTTGTGACCGTTGTCTGGGGTTGCGAACTCGATGCTTGCCGGCTGTACTCTTGAGGGCTCGAACGGAATAATTGCATGATTCGAGGGCTCCCATAATCATATTGACCTTCTTCCTGGTTTTGGGTACGTTCGTTTCTCTATTCGGTGCTTCGCGGTCTTGTTTAGGGGGAGCAACATGTTCTTCATCAGAGTCGGCTGCCTTAGCAGTCTCTTGATTGCCGGGTTTGTTTGGTCGCGGGTTCGGTCGCCGGGGTCCCGGTTTAGGCAGGTCTGCGGTGTCGATCTCGTCCTTGCGGAACTGTTGAAGTAAGAAGTCCCTCAGATGTCGGCATTCCTCCGTGCTATGCCCATATCGCTCGTGGTATTCGCAAAAACGTTCGCTTAGCGGCGTATCGTCGTCTTTATGCCATGTGTTCCAAGATTTCGGCGGCCGTCCTGACTTTTGATTTGACGGTCCTGCCTGGTTCACTACTCCGCGCGGTTTGCCGAACTGGACTTTTGTTTCCGAATTATCCTTTGCGGTCAAGGTCTGGCCGGGATTTGACGCTGAATACTGCCGATCTTTGGCGGCCTCTTCTTTTTCTTCTGCGATGAAGATGTTTGATTTGTGGAGCGCGTCCTCGAGGGTGAGGGGTCTGTTCCTGCGAAGCTCTTTATGAAAAGGTGATTTGTACCATGTTTTCTGGTATAAAGCTTCGAGGGCGGTCTCGTCGTCTACCGTGCAGTGCACCACGATTTGCTTGAAACGTGCCATGAAGTCTCGGAGTGATTCGTTTTCACCCTGTGATATCTCCCACAGCTCGGAGTTACGGGTTTTCTGCCCAATGAACATCGAGAAATGCCTTGCGAACTTAGTCGGAAGCTCCTTGTAGTTATCGATGGAGTCGGCTTCCAATCTTGAGAACCAATCCAAAGCAATGCCTTCGAGGTGTAAGACGAACAGTTGGCATTGGATTGCATCCTTCTGCTCGGCCGAGGTGAACTTCAGTCGGTTGATCACGATACCGAACGAGGTTAGAAAATGCCTTGGGTCCGAGTTCCCTTCGTATGAGCGCAGTTTGAACTTTTCTAAGTTGGGGACGGGGACGTTGGTGATCCGGGAAGTGAACGGGGTTTTCTGTGCTTCCTGGATGACGCGGTCAATTTTCAGGTGCCGAACTGGTGGCTTGGTGAAATTTGTAACTAATTTCTCGCAGTTGGGCCTGCATCCGTTCGATTTCCAGGTCACGCGCCGTTAGTTGAGTCCGTATGTGCTGGGACGGGCATTCGGACTGTTGTTGTTGCTGTATTACCGACCGTGCCACTGTGCACTGCGGGTCTCGTTCTCCTTGGAAGTCGCTGTTGAGGTTCCGTCGTCGTAGCGGGCTTTCTTGCTGCAAGCTAGAAATCTGCGCGGTGAGAGTCGCGAATTTGGCATCGTTGCTTCGAACCAGCTCTTGCATCTGAGCAGCGAAGGCGTTCATGAGTGCGGTTGGATCGAAGGCAGCTGGCGAAGCCTGATGAGCTCCGGTGCTTGAGCTCGGTTCTGCCCTGATATGCTGTGCTGCAGGTTGAGGTCGCACGGGGCTGTGCTCGCCTTCCCCCGTATGTCCTCCGACCTGGGTGGGGTTGTCAGTACAGGTCATTTGGCTTCCGACCTGGACTGAGGTCGGTTGTCCATCGTCTGAACGGGTCATCTGACTTCCGACCTGGACTGAGGTCGGTTGTCCATCATCGGTCGTCATGTCTTCGAGGTCGATTACCGAATCGGGCCCCACGGTGGGCGCCAATTGTTGATTGTGGTTCTCAACTATTCAGGGGTCGGTTCGGTAATTCGAGTTCGGGAGATTAAATTGATTGAATTTTATTAAGTATCCAATTACAGTTCGTTCAGTTCGGAGGTCTCTCGACGAACTCAATATAATATTCAGGTCTCTATTCTCCGGGTCCGAAAAAGGTCCCTTCTACAGTAACAATTCTACTATTTATAGTACATAAGCGAGGAGATGTTCTAGGGCTTCTCGTTCAGCTCTCACCGCCTCTTATCGCTGGGCTTCTCTCTTATGGGCCGCGCCGTCAGGTCAGGCCCATTTTGGCTGAAACCGTCGTAAACCGAGATCAATTGGGCTGGTCTCGGTCTTTAACCAGTCCGAACCGAAGAGCAAAGCGTACCACCAACAGTGGTATTAGAGCTCTTTGTCATATGATTTTGGTGAAGAAAGATCTAGATCAACAAAAGTATCAAATATCACGTTTTTTTCGACCAAACAGAGGAGAAAACTCAGAGAACCTAGATCAAAAACTCATATATCAGGTTATTTGAGAAGACCCAAGATCTCGATCAATAATGAAGAAGCTTTCTCCAAGAAAAAAATCAGATGTGGTGGGTTACAGTAGGTCTACGCAAAATTAACCGAACTGACCGAAGCAAACTTTTCGGTTTTCAGTATCCATTCAGTGGAGGTCCAAACCGATCAGCAGCTTTCAAAATTGGAATAGGCTATTGGTTTGGTTTGTCTAACCGACTTAGACCAAAATTTACAAAAAATATATTCAAGATTCCAAACTGAACCAAACCGAATAGAAAAAATTGACCAGATAATGTATAACCGAAATAACCCAACTGTAATCGAATTTCAACAAAAAAAAAGAGAAAATTTTGCCCAATTTGCTAACCGAACCAAAATAACTGAGCGGTTTTGTTCGACTAACCCGAATTCTTAGGCCTAGTAGCAGATTTGCAGATTGTATCCCTGGGTTGGTGGATCAGCCCACAAACTATTGTTATCATAATACTGTACAGGAAAGAAAGAGGAGAGAGAGATCAAACCATCTTCTAGGTTTACAATAATCATACATTGTAGTCTATCCCTTATTAAGCTCAGAGGATATTAAATTGAATGAACCACATACATTCGATGAGGCAAAGGAAAACATGGATTGAAGCAAAGACATATATAGTATCTGATGAAAATGGAGTCTTTGAAAAGGAATGAAACTTGGGTTTGTCAATAGGATTTTCAAGTTAAAACCTTGTACTCTGCTTTTATCACTGGTGGTTTGTAGACATTTTAAGTTGGACCGGCTTGATGTGATGACTGCAATTCTTCACGGAACATTAAGATGAGAGATTCCTTCATTAGAAGACAGGCTTCTTTGCTTAAGATATGTGGCTTGAAGCAATCTCGAAGACAATGGAATCAGAAATTCGACTGTTTTATGATCAAGAAATAATTTTACAGGTCTAGTTTTCATCTACGTGAAGAAAGTAGACGTTGATGAGATCAAGAAGATTATGACAGTCAAAATCAAGAACTGAAATAAAGGATTTGGACAAAGCAATAATCTTCGAGATGGGCTTAATTCGAGACAGAGTTAAAGACACATTGATCTTTATCTCAGGAGAAGTGTCATAATAAGGTTTTGCAAAGCTTTTGAATGACTCAAATTAAGCCAATTCAAACTCCAATAGCTTCTCATTTCAAGCTTAAGAGGTCTGACTAATGAAGAACAGAGTGAAAAAGCAGCTTTTGCTCATGTTTAGTGTATCTGATCCCTTAAAGGCTTCTTATGTCACATGTTCTCACAACAAACAATATTTTATATGAAGATGATTTAATCATTAGAAGCAAATTAAGAGGGTGAACCAGATAGTATTTCCGATTACAATAGAACTCTTAGTTCCCTGATAAAGAATGAATCAAATCAAAATCTATCAACTTGATTAAAAACTTGGGAGGAAAAAACAAAAACAGAGAAAGCTAAAAGATTAAAAAAACCTGATTTGTAAAACCTGTTCGTGGCACTACCAAAACTTTCCTAACAAGTTGGTGGTCTGACCATTTCTGCGAGAGAGGTTTATGTACATCACTCCCTCCTAATGTGTTAATTCACTTGCGGTAATCTTCAAGTAGAAAGTTTTCAAAACCGGTCCCTTTCAGTGTCTTTTGAACCTCTTCCCAGTTCTGTACGTGCTGTGACAAAGGACCGTGATGAATCTTCACTTGCCGACTCTTTAAATTGAGTTTTGGGACCTTTAGAAACTCTTGCACATCGTCTAGCCTCTGCAAAAGAAAAAGAAGAAGATGATAAGTCTAAGAAGAACATTGTTTGCATTGAAACTAGTTAGGAACAAAATGTTCTCACTGTTCGATTCTTGACAACATCTTCGTAGTAAAGAAAGATATGGCGGGTTGTATTGAAGTACGAAAGTGCTTTTGAAGTCATCTCTTGAACCTGCTTCAGATCAGCTATCAAAAGACTCGTGTTGATCAATGGCTTGTAGCGCGCCAATATCTCAGCCTGAAACCATTTTCTTTTTCACATGTTTAGATTTACAGAACACAAATTTGCAAAGAAGGAGAAATAGAAAGAAGGAAACCTCTTTAGGGGAATGGACGTGGGACTTGTGAGTACCATTTAATAATTTAGCATCTCTATCATAAGAATTTGCAAGAACTGAAATCATCCTCCGCAAGAGGTTTCTTCTAAAGAGAAAAATAGCAGAGACGCCTCGGGTTTTGAAGTAATCTACAATCTCTTCATGGTGTTTCATTAGACCCTGCATATATGTTTCATCCCCAACCAATAACCACATTACAATGTAAACCAGATGTGAAACACACGATACAATATGAACAATCACGTCAATTAAATGTGTAAAGAACCTATCCAATAAACCATTACATGAAAAATAACAATGTAAAGACTGACTCTTTTTTGAAAGAGATCAAAACCATCAAAAATCAATCAAAACGCGCGTCAAGGGCGAGAATCACAAACAGAAATTGATAAAAACCAGAAGGTTACCTTCTCTACGACCAATTTCTCAAAAAAAAAATAAACAGTGAGGCAATCACAATACAATTCTTCCCTAAAGCAAACAAGTTATAAGTCTAACGCCAAAAACTAGGAGCTCTTATCCAGAAACTGTAGCTCGACCCTAATTTTTAACTTATATAACATGAACACTGACCAAATAACAACAGTGGAGAGCACCTCATAGTTTAGGATTTGTTTAAAGGACATAAAAATCATAAATAAGTTATCCCAGTATCTAAAAATCACATACACAGATCTTCTCTAACCGAAGTAGTCTATCTTATTTTACCAAAAAAAGTAGTCTATTTTATGTTTAAATTATATAACCTAAAACTGACCAAGTAACAACAGTGGAGAGCATTCCACAGCGTAAGATCATCACAAATAATCGATTTCAGTATCTAAACTATATTAAAACAGTAAGTAAACATTAGAGAGACTAGAAATAAGATATTGTGAACTTAACGGATCTTTATCTTTATTGCAATCAAGATTTAAAACATTTTTTAGAACCTTACCTGATTAAGCATCCACTTCAAACCAACGGCAGAAGTGCACTCGTTCTTAGAGGCACTACTCAACCAATCTAGATTATAGACTTTGTCCAAGGTCTCGAAAATGGTCGACACATTAGCTCTCCTATCTTTAACCGAAAAGATCTCCCCGTTCGAGCTTATGTTAGTATGATTGTTTAGTAAAGTCTCAAACCAGCCGCTACCAGATCGCTGCATCGAGAGAATCGCAAAATACCTAACGGGATTGCAAGAACACTCCTCCCTAACCAATTCCAAAACCCCACAATCAACACACATAAGCATCACAACCAAGAACCAAACAAAAGATGATAAACACTCTTAATTACCTGCTATACGTCTTAGGTTTAGGGTAATGGACATATGGTATGTCCCATGGTTCAATGTTAGGCTCAGGACAAGGTCTCTCAAATACTTCAACGTTCAAGAAACCAGAACTGGGGACGACACCGATTTGTTTTAGACAAATGGAGCAGATGTAAACAGCACAGACCATCACAAACAAGAGAACGACCATTCTCAACACAAGTGGGGATTTTTTAGGAAGCTTGAAGACGAAACTATCCTGCAATAAAACAAATACATTTATGAGTGAGTTTTTTTGTTTTGCTTGTTTTAGAAACAAAAAAAAAAAACCTTAAATCAAGGGCAAAAAACAACATGGGCACCACATAAATTGAAAATTACGCAAGACCCAGATGCAGAAAGATTCAATTTTTACAGAAACCCATATCGAAAATCAAACGAAATTCCTCAAAAATCAGCTCAAACAAGAGAAAAAACCTAATCAGATTAGACGAAGATAACCTAAAGTCTAAATACCCACAAAACAAAAAAGTACCTTTGGGATGAGAGAGTGTTCGTCGCCCATGGCTGCTTCGGTTTAGAGATAGAGAGAGAGAAGGAGAGAGAGTTAGAGAGATTTAGAAAGGAAGAGAAGAGAAAGGCATTGAATTATTCAGACACCATCCAGCTAGAAAAAAAAAACAGAATAATGAAAAATCGTAAACACAAAGTGGCTTTTCTCTGATCAGCCCATACAAAAGAAGAAAAAATAAATAAATTTCAGGAAAAAAAAATCAAGAAACCTCGAGGAAAATTTTCTTTTTGAAAAAAAACAATGATTAGAGATGCCCGAGAAACGTTGTTTGTGGAGCTTCTTCTGTTATCGTTGGATTTGGGGTTGCTTCGAAATTACGGATCTCTCTGCTCTAATTATTAAACTTTTTATATGCGACTTGGAATTCAGATGCTTGCACTTGCTCAGGAGAAATAAGAAAAGAAGAAATTTTGGGAAAAAAAAATAAAGCGCAAAGTTCGAGACGAACTCTCGAGCTTCGAAACGGTATCGTTTTCGATGATTCCGACATGCACACTATGGCATCTTCCTTTTTCTAATTATTTTTTTCTAATGTAATTTCAGTTTTATAAGCTTTTTTTTTCAATTTTTTGTCGTATTTTATTTTCAATTTAAGAAGCAACAATTAGAATATAGTATTAGTATGATAATAACGTGTGACCCATTCCAATTTTGTAGGTTTGACTTGTGCTTTTCTTTTTTAGTTATTGGAACCTCGGATTCTCGGGTTAAAGTTTGACTTAATCCACATGGTTTAGCTTTCTTATTTTCCTCTGCGTCTGGTTTTTCTTCAGTTCAAGCAAACAAGTGAAAAATTAGGAAAGTCGAAGTAGAGACCAAAGCAAGCAAGTGTAGTAGATTTAGATGATTTATGTTTTCGATTGATTGTAAAAGATATGAATACAAAGTTATGATAAGATTTCTGGAAGATCATAACTTTGGATATATATTCTCGGTTCATATATTTATTTCGCTTTTTTGCTAAACTAGAAGAAGACGTCTATATAAATATGAATATTTATTCTATTAAAACAGAAGCCACATTTAGTGCTTGCATCTAAACACTTCCAATTTTTTTTAATAATATTTTTTTTTTTTTATATTTAATTTCCGAAAATTAGTTATTAATTTAGATATTTTTAGATTTCCTAAAATCTAGGTCATCTTTAATTTAAATTTTCAAATTATTAGAAATTTAATTAAATTTAGTTACAAAAATTTGCATTCAATTTAATTGAAATTCAAAAAATTCAAAAACAATTATAATTAAATTTTATTACAAAAATTTAGATAATAATTTTAATACTTTAGAATTTCTTAAATACAGGAAAAATTTAATTTAAAATTTTAAATTTAATAATATTTTTATAAAAATGCATAGTAAATAAATATTTTATCGTATTTTATCATAAACAATCGATCTAAAATATCAAATATTTGAGATTAATAAATATTTATATTATACAATAATATGATCGAGCTGATAAGAGTTTTTTATATATATATATATATATTTAAAGTCCATGAGTTAATTTATTAAAACATGTAAGATATTAAGATGATTTAAGCAATTAAACTAACATGTTAGCCCGTTTATATATATATATATATATATATTTTTTTTTTTTTTAATAGCACAAATAGTAAATACATATCTTATTATATTTTTTATAATCAATTGGTCCAAATATTCCATATTAGTAAATATTTATAGGGTTATACAATTATAATTATAGTCTTATACGGGTTAGTTTGTCAAAACATGTAAGATATTAAAAATGATTTAAGACAACTAAACGGATGGATTAGCAAATTCATAGATATATAGATTGTTTATGTGTAAATCTAAATTCACATAATAATAAAGTTTATAATTAACATTAGATCAATGTATACTTAATTAACGTATACTCTTATTCTACTAATATACAAATTTTACTGTTTAAACTTAAAATAAGATAATAATTTTTTGATTTAAAAAAATAAATAACAAAAATAAATTATATCTAAACAAAAACGATAAAGGCAACTTATATTAGAAATAAAAATAAAACATTCCCGTGCGGACGCACGGAGTTAAAATCTAGTTTTTTAAACAAGCACACGATAATTTTTTGGGATAATTACTACTATTTATGATTTTCAATATGATAAAAACACTGATTTTTAATTTTTTTTTTTTTTTGAAACTACACTTTTTATATGTAATGAGAAGGGAGGTAAGTAAGAGCAGCTACTTTGTGCTAATTGTTGCTCCACTTCAACATAATTAAGCGTCTGTTTTTCGTATATCATGCTCGATCATTTGTGAAGCCTAGTTTCTCTGCTTGGATGTTTCATTGGCTCAAGTAGTAGAAAGAAAGGTTCAAAAGAAAAAAATGATGGAAAATATTTCTGGTCTTTGAATTTCACAGTAGTGTTGTGATTGTGCAAAGGTGCGACTCTGTTCCTATAGTGCAGTTTGATATCATCAAAATTCAGATATAGGATTGATATTAGTACTAGAAATTATAGTTCACTACTTCACTGGATAGCAGAGTATCAAAATTAAACTCTTTAGTGGATTTTACTTGGTGCTGATTTTTTATAGGGGCAATTGTATTTATAAGACAAAAAAATTATAGTATTGTTTCCTTAGTACTTTTTCAAATTTTATCATTTCTGGATTTATATACCTTTTTATATAATTATGAAAAATTAAAAAAATACTTTTAAAATCTAAAAATTTTGAGAAAATTCAGAAAAGAAAAAATAAATTTTCTATTACTTTTTTTGAAACAAAATTTTAAAATATATATTTTACCAATATTCTACGAATTAATAGAAAGTATATTCAATAAATCTATAAATTTATAGAATATATTATCTATTATTTCATTAGTTTTCTATGAAATATATAAAATTGGTTATCTACAATTTTTTATATTCTATAAAGTTATGAAACTGTATTCTATAACATGTTCATTTTTCTACAACTTAGTAGAATTCTATTTTTACAGTAAACTCTTTATTTTATAACTTTGTAGAATTCTATTTGTACAGTAAATTATTTGTTCTACAATTGTAGAATACAAATTATACAAAGCGGTTAACTAAATCTCTGAGATTCTAGGATCATGTGTCGAATATCTACAAAATCTATTTGTTTTTCTTTTCAAATTATCTATTTTCTTAATTTATTTATTTGTAATTTTGCAGAGGGAGGGTGGTTCTGTCTCGAAAAGGTAAAGAGATCTGGCCTGCCTGTCTTCTCATTTGCATAACATCTCTGTCACGTATCAGGTCTTCTCTCGATGCTTGAGCTAAGCTCCTCTCAGCCTCTCTTTCCCTCATCTTCTCACGTCTTTGATCTTCAGTGAGGAAAGGACAAGTTCTCTCGTCGTGAGAGATGTGTCTGCAGGTGAGACACCAACGATCGAGTTTTTCATACTTCATCTCTACCCGAACCACTTCTCCGGATTGAAGCCTCGCCCTTGCTGTGAATCTCAGAGGCTCATCTGCATTCAAGGAGATCTGGATCCTTGCAGCTCGTGCATCAACAGCTCTTACATCCCCCAGACGGTTTCCAATGACACTGAAGTTTTCTTCCATCCCCTCCCTCTGCAGGAAGAAACCCGCAAGCTCTCGACAAATGCCAAAGATGGAAGCTCCAACCCAATGAAGGATAAGAAAGGGAACCAAATTCCCGATGAAAGGCGCCTTTCTGACAGAAGACCTGATAGCGTCTGGAACAGAATTGAAACAAGTGCTGGTTACTGTTCTGAAGCAAGACGGTATGAAAGAAGACATGAACCTGCAGATGAAATTCACCCCAGTATCAGAGAAGACTCAAGAGATAATGAACCTGGATATCGAAAGAGACGATACGAAGAATCCTTCGCAACAAGCAAGAAACAGATGGGGAAGAACAAGCAGAAAGACATACCTGGGAAGGACCATTCCTCCGCTAAACCTCCATTGGCGAGACTCTCAGCAATGCCAACTAAGTCTTCTGACTCTCAGAGAACTATCTCTGATCCTCCAGCCAAAGCTAAACAGGGATATTCTTCCTCGGAGCACACGCGTAGTAGACCGTTCCACCTCTCCCTTACCAGTAAGACATCAAATCTGGGGAAAGGGAAGATGTATGCAACCGGTGAATCTTCAAAAGCAGGCAGCTCAGCAAAAAAAGCTCTCACTTTTGAACCTGCAATCCCAATTGAATCAAACTCCATTATAGGCCAGCCCAAGCTTAGCAATGCGATGACTCTACCCCCACTGGAACCTTGTATCCATGAAAATTGGTATGAATAGACTCTGGAGGAAGATAGAGAAGATATAAAATCTTACCACATCAAAACCAAATGACGAACAGCTCGAGTTCCCGATGGAAGTGGTCATGGAGACAGGCGGAGACTTAAGGACTTTTCACAATGACCAGGAGAACGAGTTGTTGGAGGATGAGCTTATGGAGGATCCAGCTTTGCTTACCAAAAATGAAACAATTGAGGGTATTGATGAGGAAGACGAATGGATGAACGATGATGATCTCTTTGATGAAGGGGAACTGGACGAACTCCTGAAAGATGTAGACAGCCCTGAGAAGGATCAAAATGGAGAAGACCAGGAGATGATCGATGAGCTCGCGATTCCTGAGGAGAATCCGCCGACGTTCCAACCTGCTTCCTGGTTCAGATCCCCCGAAAAGGCTGATGTCGGGAAGAAACCGGCGGCGGAAACTGACAAGAGCACCAGGGTGACCGGAAAAAAGAAACCGGTTCCGAGATCGCCGGCGGCTCGCGGTTTATCCCTGAAGAAGAGGAATTTTCCTCTGGGCCGTGTCTCTCCAAAGACTAAGGGGAAAGGAAAAGGCCCAAAAACAGGCCCAGGCCCAACTGCAGATCAAGAAGATAAGCCCAAGGGAGATAAGGGTTCTAAGGCCCAGAAGAAAAAACAAAACACTGTAACCGGTGGGGAGGAAGCCCAGAAACCGTTTAAACATAATCCATGAACGTGATAGGCTGGAATTGTCAGGGGGCGGGAGCCGACCTGACGAAGGATCACCTAGAAGAATTGCATCACTGTTTTCTCCTCGTTTTTTATTTTTATCAGAAACTTCCAGAGAATCTCTGTGACTCCACCTTTCAAAATAGCCGATTTTGTTCATGCCTTGACATGGGTACCTCGGCATAGCCCATGCCGAGGGTTTTATGCCGAGGGTACCATGTTTCTGGGCTTGTAATCTTCCCTTGCAGTTTCCATCGTCCAAGATGAAGAACACCTCGACATTAAACACCCCGAGGAATCATTCCATGTTTTTAAAACATTTCAAGTTATTTCAAATGCCTCGGTACGGTCTCACCCGAGGTACTGTTTGGTCGAGGTTGTGCAGCAAAGGTTCGGACATTTTACCTCGGGCATCTATACCAAGGGTGTCACACCGAGGTGAATGGCTAATACTTAGCCATTTTGGGAAGATCAGTCTTTTTGACTAGCACCTTGATACAGCTCCAGCCGAGGTAAAATACCGAGGGTTGGACACATTTGGTTCGGAAAACCTTAAAGCTACCTCGGCATAGTCTTGTACCGAGGCCATTCCTAACACTTAGTCTCCAGGGGATAAACTTCATGGCCTCGTTACAGCCCATGACGAGGTAACAACCCAAGGCCTGACCTTTTTCATTCAGTGGAAGACCCTCGGTACAACCTTACCGAGGCTTTCAAGCCGAGATGTTTGTCCGTTTGCTCTAAAACCTAAGGCCGCCCTGTTTAAACCTCTTCCAACACCTGTTTCTTCATTTCCACAAGCAAGATGACCTCTTAAATCTGAGACCACTTAACAAAACCCTTAAAACATTCTAAAACATAAAAAGAAAAGACAGAAAAAGAAGTATGTACAAGGATAAGCTTGGGGTGTCTCCCAAGAGCACTTTGTTTAATGTCACTAAGTTTGACTTTTCATACCCATTACTGGGTTGGAGGATCATCAAGATAGACTATGGTAGCCCTCTCTTTATGTTCTGACACCAAATACTGCTTGACTCTCTGCCCATTAACAACAAAACCTTTGTCATCCTTTCCTTCAAGAACCAAAGCACCATAGTTTCTCAACTAAAGAACCCTGAATGGACCTGACCACCTTGACTTCAGTTTACCAGGGAACAACTTGAGCCTTGAGTTGAACAAGAGGACCAAGTCACCTTCTTTGAACTCTTTCTTCAAGATTTTATGGTCATGTAAAGTCTTGGTCATTTTTTAATAAATCCTTGCACTCTCATAAGCATCAAGTCTGATCTCTTCCAACTCATGTAACTGGAGAAGCCTCTTCTCTTGGGCAGTCTTGATTTCAAAATTCAGCAGTTTAGCAGTCCAAAGAGCCTCATACTGCAGCTCTACAGGTAGATGGCAGCTTTTCCCATACAACAGATTGAAAGGTGAGGTCCCAACGGGGGTTTTAAAAGCTTTCGTATAAGCCTAAAGTGCATCATCAAGTTTCTTAGACCAGTCCTTTCTAGATGCACTCACTGTCCTTTCTAGGATTGCCTTTATCTGTTTGTTGGAAGTCTTCACTTGTCCACTGGTTTGGGGGTGTTATGAAGTTGCCACCATGTGCCTAACCCCATGCTTCCTTAGCAAACCCTCTAGAGTCTTGTTCACAAAGTGAGTCCCACCATCACTGATCACAACTCTTGGGAAACCAAACCTGGGGAAGATAACACTCTTGAAGAGCTTGCACACCACCTTTGAATCATTGGTTGGGCAATCAATTGCCTCCACCCACTTGGAGACACAGCCACCAAGATGTATTGGTTCCCATAAGAGCTGATGAATGGCCCCATGAAATCTATGCCCCAGCAGTCAAAGATCTCAACCTCCAAAATTGGGTTTTGAGGCATCTCACTCCTCTTTGATATGTTGTCCTGCCTTTGACATGAATCACAACTTGAAACCACACCTTGGGCGTCCTTGAACATTGTTGGCCACCAAAAACCAGATTGCAATACCTTGGCCACCGTTTAAAAGCTCCCAAGTGTCCACCATAGGCTGAACCGTGACACTCTTGTAGAACTGGCTGGACCTCTTCCTCAGCTAAACATCTTCTGTATAGATGATCCTTGTTGAGCACATAGAGAAATGGCTCATCCCAATAATAATTCTTGATGTCTTTAAAGAACTTCTTATTTTGATATCCACTCAGCTCTGGTGGTTCAACCCCACATGACAAGAAGTTCACTATATCAGCAAACCATGGCAACCTGCTTTCTCTAATCGTATCAACCTTCTCAACCTTAATGTAACTCTTGAGCACCATAAGTTGTTCTTCAGGTAAAGAGTCATTAAGAGGGATCTCAGAATCCAATCTTAGTCTTGAGAGGTGATCAGCTGCACTATTCTCTATTCCTTTCTTATCCTGAACCTCCATATCAAAATCTTGCAAAAGAAGTACCCTTCTCAACAACGTTGGTTTTGCATCATTCTTTGTCATCAGATATATGTGCAGCATGGTCTGTGTAGACCACCACTTTAGAACCAACCAGATAGCTCTTAAACTTGTCAAAAGCGAATACTATAGCAAGGATCTCTTTCTCAGTTGTGGCATACTTTTCTTGAGCTGAGTCTCGAGTCCTACTTGCATAATATATCACATGGAGCTTCTTATCCTTTGATATCATTGTTTTATGGTTTTTAACCATGGCATATGTCTTATTTATAGAGTCTTTTTAGTGTTTTTCAAGTCTTTTGGAGTCTTTACAGGTCTTAGGTACGTTTGGAGCTTAACTGGTAGTTTTGGAGCACTTTGGAGCTAAATCAGGATCAAATTCGCGAAGGACAAATCATGTGCATTGGTGTCGCTCGACACCATGGAGAGTGACACTCGACACTTGTCAAAGAAATAAGGAAAACACGATTTTGTTTCCTGTTTGAAGAAGGAGTTGGGCCTAGAAGTTTCCAGTCTGTGTTTTTAGAGATACATGTTTTAGAGATATAAATAGGGTTTTTAGTCTCTCTTGAACCTTACCTTAGATTTTCGAGCAAGACATCTTTGTGTATTTTTTGGCTTTTGCGATTTTCAGAGCTTGGGGAGACAAGTCTGAACTCTGTTCGTTTAGAGAGAAGATTTCGAACCTCTTTGTTTATTTTATTCATCTTCTTATTGCAATCTATTCAATCATGTCTTTTGCTTCAATATCCATGTCTGAGTAGTTAGCTTGTTAGGTTTAGGGTTCTCATTAAGGTTTTCTCTGGATGCTTGATTAATTGATTTAGTTAGGGTTCATAATCTGATTTGTTCTTCACCATAGGTTGTTCTTAAAGCTAATTCTGGACTGATCACCTAGAACTTAGATCTTAGGTTGCTTAATTGACATGGAAGTGTAATTGAATAACTGGAAAGAACCTAGGGTGAGCAAAGTGGCTATTCGCAAAGGAATTAGGTTAGATGCTTTGTGAACATTCGAACTTGTGTATTAAGGCTGGTTTAAATCTGTAGGATTTGCAAAGAAATTTGGAATTCTAGGATTTTTACGTAGATAATTCTCACAACGGAAGTTGGTCAATTATAATTCTGTGTTTCGAATTCAAGAACCGTGCTTATACCTGAACCTTGACTA